TAGATGGTAACAACTTCATAAGGATAGAGGTTATAAAGGATTTTATAAGTGATATATTGAATCCTAGCAAAAACATCCTCCTTTTTCGGCAGCAGCCCATCAAAACAAGCAGCATTCCGGGTCCTCTAGATCCAATAGATGGAATAGCAAAACGCAATCCTAGTCGCCTTAGCTTTAATCCCCGAGCCTTGTCTTTCCTTCTTGATCCACTTGAGCGAGCTTTGCATAGTCCTCATCTCCCTAGGAATCCCCAGCCACTTCGTCACCTTGCGCCAAACATCTCCTGAAAAAGGGCAAGCAAAAAATAGGTGTGGTACAGTTTCTGGACCACCCTTACAAAAGGGACATATATTAACAACATCTAATCTATGCAAATTATCAAAAGTAGCAAGACGATTACGAAAAGCTAACCAAACCGTGAAGCTAAATTTTGGGGGGATATAGTGCTTCCAAATGAAAGACATCCAAATGCGAGGTTCCCCCCTAACTCTGAGTAAATCATACACCTTGGCCGAGGAGAGCTTTCCTCCAACTTGAAGACCATTAAGATGGTTGATGGCAGCTTGTGTACAATCAAAGTGTGAAATGATTTGATCACGGATAAGAGCAATCTTCTTAATCAGTTGGGAGTCCCTTTTATGAGGTGTGAACTCCCAAACACTTTGAATCATTGTTTTACTTTAACTAACACAAATGTTACATCTATTAAAGAAGGGAGGAAGTATACAACTACAAAAATATGTACTTCACATCATTGTTTTACTTTAACTAACACTTTGAATCTTATAAAACAAATGTCCATCGATGATCAACTCACTATTTTACCGGTATTTAATTCCAAAAACTGGTTAACCAAATTCTTCGTCAACCGCGACAACAATTGATAGATAAATTAATAAGTCCTCACAAGTGTACGTATCACGGGGATAGTATATTGCTTAAGTAAGGATCAAATTCATAGGGAAAATGAAACCAAGTAATATGAAAATAGTAAAAGTAAAAGTGAAATTGATTTAACTAAAAAACGAGTTCTGAATTTGTTTAATTTGAAACATTTTTTGAGGAAATTTAATTTGAAACTTAAAAGTAAAGCTTGAATTGAAATAATGCAAGGAATCTGAAGTAATAAAAATAAGGTGATTAAATAACCAACACAAGAACCATTGAGAATGAATTTAGCAAAATGAAGATCGTCCATGATTATAAATCAGTGGCTAGTTTTTCGTAAATGTGACTAATTAGTTTGTCAATTAATAATATTCAGAATCCGTTCTAGACAAAGATATGAGTATTCGTTCTAGATATTTAAAACCCTTTAATTACACAAGAACTACGGAAATTTCCGATTTAGAACCAAATACACCACTAAAAAGATAGTTAAATTACCTATTCGTGTATCCAAAAGAGCCCGAACTAATAGGCATGTCATGCACTCCATTAATCTATTTAAACAACTTAACCAATCATGCTAAAATTAATCAGAAATTAACTTAATAAATTAAGCGAATAAGTATTATGAATAAAATTCAATCAATTGAGAAAATTAGAATCACAGTTTCATACTAAATCATAGCAACTTCATCACATGATTGAGATTCACATCCCTAGACTTAAATATATATAATTTCTTATTTTAGTTGCTATTGTTTGCCGTTTATTGATGTCTTGGTTTATTTTTTGGTTTTATAGTTTTATATTAGTTCTGGCATTTGCCGTTTGTAGATTTGTGTTAAAAAATGTTTTTTGATACCAATTTTCCCTTGTTTATCTCTATTAATTTGCTGTTTTTTTCAATTTTGTTATCCCATATTTTATTGTGCGATGTTTCAACTATTTTTATTGACCTTATAATGTTTTGTGCATAATAACACATTGGTGATTATCGCACATTTTTGTGTACTTTTTACCTGCAAAATCCATTTATGTCATCCATGTCGAGTTGTGTATCAACTTCATATGATGACAATGTAGAATTAACACGTCCCAAATTTTTGGCGCATTCTTAATTGTTTGAAACCTTAAGCGAGCATTAGGTATCACACAAACACATTGCACTTTGAATAGTATGATATCAAATATGATATTTTTACTTGAATTGATTTTAGTTTAATACATGCAATATCAGACTACATTTAACTATACCTGATCACACTTGACAATATTATATCTTAAATATATCAGATCAGACCACAAAATAGTTTAAAAAGATCAACCATAAAGTTTTTGCCTAAGTGAAAATATCCTCAAGTCTAATACGATCTACTCTTGTCTTGACTGGTCTGATCTAGTGTAATATATTTAAATCTAGTATGGGTTTCATAGGCTGGTTGTTGTTATGATAAGGGGCGTAGCCACGATCCAAGGTTGGGGTGAGCCAGTACAAAGAATATTTTCACATAAATTTATACGCTAAAAATACAAAAAGAAAAATCGAATTTGGGGTGAGCCGAGCGGCGGTTAGCCCCCATCTACCTGCGCCCCTGGTTATGATGTCTAATGTCTAGTGTCATGTGTATGTTATTATTGTCTAAGTCTTGTTCACTCTCTCAAGTCTATTTTGTTCTGGTGTCATTGTTTGTTCATAGTTTGAACTCGTCTTTTAATGTTTGTTTAGGTCTAATATGGTCCAATTTATGACTGAAACTAGTCCGAGTAAAATTATCCTTATAGTTTCATACTTTCATTACTGGACTTATTTCAGTCTAAAACCAAACTTCAACATGCTTGATGTTTTGTTATTCTCTCCTTTATTTTGATTTAAAGTTATCTTTTGTGATTTGTTTTGTTTGGTCATGAGACATATATGATTTTTATGTCTGGTATAGTTAGGTTCTCATTTAACATCTGTGTGACTGTATGTATGCTAGCTATATCAGTGAATAGAAGTCTTGTACTCTCTAATCTGAGTTGGTAAATATAGTTCGAATTTTTCTTGAGCTAACCTTTCATGAATGATCAATCGAGTCTGGTACAATATGGTATGCTCTGAATAGATTCTTTCTTGTCTTGGCTAGTGTGACTTGATATGCTATTGTGTAGTTCTTATAGTAAATTTTGTATAATCAAAAACTAGTTCCTTTAACAGGAAGTGATTGTTGATTTTGGACAATAAAAAAAAATAAAGTTGACAAATTTAATGGGACCGAGGGAAAATATTACCATTATTATTTATACATTCTACTTTTCTGAAAATTTAAATTGCAACTTAAAAAAATGCTGAGAACTTTGTATTCTAATAACTATAGTAATAATATGAGTAATATTTAACCTGTTATTTAAATTGCTTATATGCTATTGATGTTTAATTTGGAATTAAACTTCACCATGCCATCATTTTTTGGATCATGTCTGACTACTGTCAGGATAAAAGAGGAGAGTGTAGAGTAGACGCATGATTGTCAACGGTATCATAACATGACATAATGATATTTAATTTGGTATTACACGAGTTTGACAACCATTTGAAATTATGTAACTAGTGTGACTACCAAAAGCACTTTTGGTGTGTTCTTAAATTAAGGATGCTCTTTTCGGGCGTGTCCATCCTCGAAATATGCTTAAGAATACTTCCTCTTAAATAAGTGGAAAATTGAAAATAAAATAATCCTAGAAGTACTACATACTCTTTATGTTCTATTGTCAAACAAGACATATATAGTCTTCTTAAAGGATAAAACAATAAAAAGTGTCAAAATAAGAATGAATGTATCTTATTTTAGGTAGAGAACAATGACACTAAAAAATCAATATTCGAGAGATATTTTACAAAAAAATTGTTAATTATTTCCTATTTCATTTCAATCCAAACTTAGGATGTAACAAAAAAATGAAAAATAATTTATTCCCCTTTATTACTATCTACCTTTGTGATATTTTGTACAATACATATTCTTGTGACAAGTTGGATAAATCACTAAAACTCTTTGAATTTTCTTTATAACGTTTATTATTATGCGTTTTTGTATTTGAAAGAGAGTTCATTTTTGTTGATTCCATAAAGAGTTTTCTAGTCATTTGTCAAATGGATATGTAGGTATATAAACACATATCGTCAATTTAGCATTGGATTTGGATAAACAGCAGAAATTGTTCGTTTCAGTTTAAATTTTTCATTTGCCTCTTTTGGATGTTCAAGAAGCTTCCCATTTTTATTTTAGAAAATAATTAACACTACTAAATTACAACTTAATTATCAAGTATTTAAAGTGATACACATCGCATCACAATCATCATCGGTAATTTTATTACTACATACTCCTCTATCCCATAAAAAGATTCTCACTTTCTTTTTGTGGATATCTCATATAATGGTCTCATTTCCATTCTAGGAGATAATTAACAATCTTAAATGACAAATTAATCATTAAATATAAAAAATGGAGTAATACATTTATATTATCACAATTAACAACACTAACCCCATTATATTATGCACCGATTAAATTTTTTCTCAAAATATACTCGAACAATCTTATTTAATTATTGTCTAAATGATCGTATATTTTGTCCCGAAAACCTTTTAACGTGATGGAGGTACTATATTACGGAGTATATCCTAATTTAAGCTGGAAAAGAGTCGGTTAAGAGAATCACAAAATCCTCAAACATCTTTGTGGAACCGATGTTATTGATCGATAGATGCTTAAGTTTTAACTTTTAGCGCCACTTGATTACAAAAATGATGTTTGTATCCACTCTTATATCCACACATGTTTGTGAATGATTTTTGTTTTATCTATAAGTTTCATTCACAGACAATTTTTTTTGTGCAAAGTTTGCACGAACAAAATATGTGATATTTCGTCTGTACACCGGATTCAAAAACAGAAAAAAAAACATTTACAAACATGGTGGTGAGTATAAGATAGATATAAATGTGAGTACATCAAGACTCGATTATACCGTATGCACCGCACTAAATGACTTAAATGTCCAAGAATGTGTGTCCGGACCCGGATTACAAGAACCGTAGAAATCGGGTTAAGAAATTGCTTTGACAAGGGCATCAAATTATAGCAGCAACTGAATCTGGAAATGGAGCCGTGGAGCTGGACTGAGTGGTTAAATTATGGTCGTAAAAAAGACACCACAACCAATTCTATCACCCGAATGGGACATGAAGATTAAAAGGAAAAGTGAACGGCAGAGAAAGAGCCAGCAGAGTCTTTAGAATATTCAAGCTCAAAGGCAAGCAAATATAGTTAGAATTCTCCAGCAAAGCTTTTCGAATCGAAATGTTTTGCCTGCCCATTGTTGGGTTCTTTTTTCTCCACCTGATGCTGATACATTAAACCCATGTCCATCTCATTGTTTCTCTGAAGCCAATTAGCAGGTTCATTTCTGTCTAGTGTTTATTTTATTGTTCTTGTTGCCATTCCCATTGAAGCTTTGGTCTATTCAAGTTAGGTATATGTGTATGTAGAAAAGATATGGAGTGTGCGTTTATTTTATCAATTTAACTAAATATAGAAACGACCGATAACCATCAAGAAGGTGTGATGCTTGGTGTATAAGCTTTGTTTTTTTAATAAAAATTACGATCCTTGCTTTGTGCTTTTCTTTATGATAGTGGGAGTGTTTAGATCTACTTCTGGAAATTGGTTTTGCTCCCTCAAGGAATGTTATTTACTTAATTAGTAGCATAATCAATTTTTGGAGTGTTTGGGTAAAACTCGAGAATCACTTATAACTGTAAGTTTTTGAGAAGTCAGAGTGACTAACTTCTCCGAAAGTTAATGTGAAGGTTAATTCCCCAAGTAATATCTTTTAAATGTAAAATTAAAATATCAATTTACCACATATGGTAAACACAAAGTTACTGAGAACTGTGAGAAGTGATTCTCTATTTCATATAGGAAAAGCACTGTTAACTCTAAAAAATCACTCTCACATACGGCCAAAATTCATGATTAAGATCTTAAAGAAGTATCTGAATCGAAGCCCAAAACCGACTTAAGAATTAACTAAATCTTACTGATTCTCGTAAGTGAAAGTTTGATGCTATAGTAAAGCATGTACCGGCAATTTTTTAAACGAATGTTTGATGCTATTAGTATAGGTGGGCTTGCTGTTCATATACCCAAGGCTTTGTGCTTGCAAAGTTGGGTTGATTTGGTTGAAGGGTTTCAATAGTCTTTTACAAAAACCATTGGTGGGTATTGCCTGAAAGTGGATAGAGTGATAGACTTTAATGGGCATTTCCATTTTTTGCTATAAACTACTCCAGGAAACACAAACTCAGGTCTATGCTTTAGTGGGTATCGTCCATTTTTTGCTATAAACTACACTCAGCCAGAAAATCGGGGGAACACAGAGGGCAAAAACAAATTTTCTAGTATTTGCTCATAAAGCTTTCCACCTTAAGCATGTCAATTCCCTTGCCGTCAGTTGTTTCTCCGACTTTGGAGCTATCAAATGGTACTGGATTTTTGGACTCACCTAAGTTTCTTGGGAGGAATATGAGTTCAGTGTGCAATGCTAGGGTTAAGAGGGATAAGATACAAAGGTGGAACTTGCAAGCATCTCTAGATGCAGATTTAAGATACTTTTCTTTGGGAAAATCATTTTTGAAGAGTGGAGGAAAATCATATGCCCTTTCAAGTGTTGTGGCTAGTCCATCTGATGAAATGATGATGCCATCCGAGCAGAAGGTATATGATGTAGTTCTTAAGCAGGCTGCTTTGCTGAAGAGGAACTTGATTTCAAAAGATGATGATTTGAAGGCGAAACCGGATATTGTTCTTCCTAAAAATTTGGACCTTTTGAGTGAAGCTTATGATCGGTGTGGTGAAATATGTGCTGAGTATGCAAAGACTTTTTATTTGGGTTAGCCTCTTTATCTACACCTTCTGTTAATAACAAAAACTATTTGATGCTTATAATAATCTATATTTATTTTTTCCAGGGACCTTGCTAATGACACCTGAGAGAAGAAGAGCTATTTGGGCAATATATGGTGAGAATCTGAGGCATGTAATTTCTATTACTCCGTATAAATTAGAGATAGTAAGCATGCATAAAAATAGATTTTATCTTGTTAATTCAATCTTTTCAAGAATTTTTTATATTAAAGAGCTAATTTGTTAGATTAGGCTACACAAAGTATGACAACTTTTACAAGAAATCTTTGATATGGACTTCTGACTTGGGTGTCTTCTGACTTTGCTGCACGTGCAGTAAGCCATGTTATTTTTTGTGCCAACAAGAATTAGATAATGCTAATAAATACAAGCAGATGAAATTAGAGAGTTCATGATGTGCTATTTTTTAACAGTGTGGTGTAGGAGAACTGATGAGCTTGTTGACGGGCCTAATGCGTCACATATAACTCCGTCAGCCCTGGATAGGTGGGAAGATAGGCTGGAAGATGTATTTAAAGGACGCCCATTTGATATGCTTGATGCTGCCCTCTCAGATACTGTCTCCAGATTTGCAGTTGATATTCAGGTATAAACAAGATATTTATTCCTTCATCTTTACTGAATCTTAATTTCTTGAATGTTCGTCTCTTACACTTTCCTACACTTCATCAATGACTGGGAAGCACCTGTCCTTTAAGGGTCCGTTTGGAACTTGGGAATGGATTCGGAGAAAGTATGGGAAAAAATACTGGTGAAGTTTGAATGAAGACAATGTGGGGGAAAATAAAATTTGGCAATTTTCCTGAAGTATTATTACTAATTAATTACTCATTGAACAAAAATGTCATTAACACAGTTACCAACTGTCAACTGGCCAGTTACATGTTTGTAACTGCGGTACTACTTGGTCTATGGTTATGACTTATGACCAGTTGACGGTTAGTAACTGTATTGGACAATTACATCCTAAAATTAAGAATTACATTTATGTCTAATATGTATTCTATTAGTAAATAATTCAGGAATTGGTCTATAAAACATCAGTTCAAACTCCATAATCTATTCTTAAATTTTTCTCAAACTCATTTTATATATTTGTTTCGATTATTTGGATTAAGAATTCTACACACAATCAGGGTTAATCAGTTTTTTGGTTTTCCTTTTGCATTTGCCGAGGTAAAACCAAACACAGGAAACTAGCTTTCCTTAGCAATTACTACTACTACTACTACTACTACTACTACTACTACTACTACTACTACTACTACTACTACTACTACTACTATTATTAGTATTATTATTAATTATTATTTATATTATCATTACTCTGTATTATTATTCTTTTCTCTTACATTTTACATGGTCCAAATATATCCTAATTCTTGATTTTTTTTTTTGCTGACAGCCTTTCAGGGATATGATTGAAGGAATGCGTATGGATCTACATAAGTCAAGATACAATAACTTTGACGAACTTTATCTTTATTGTTATTATGTTGCTGGTACTGTTGGTTTGATGAGTGTTCCAATAATGGGAATCGCACCCGAATCAAAGGCAACTACAGAGAGTGTCTACAATGCTGCTTTGGCTTTAGGCATTGCAAATCAGCTGACCAACATTCTCAGAGACGTAGGAGAGGAGTAAGTGTGAAAGTTTATATTCAACAAATCTGCCATTTGTGAGGCCGATATTCCAGTTTCGCATAGAAGTGTATAAATAGCAATGCCAAGTTCTCTTTCAGGTTGACTGCTTGGGTGACATCTTTTTGGGAGTCAAATGACCATGGTATCCAAACTTTAATAAGTAAAATTATTACTGCAAGGAAAGAACAACATTTTTACCTCCTAAATGTCATCCATGTGGTGAACCTGGATCTGGCTATAGGCTATAGCATTACCCTAAGGGCACATTTGGTTTGCAGAATTGTGGCATTACTTAAGGTAATGTAACAGAACCTTTGGTCAGGTAATTTGATTACCTTACTAATGTAACATTGACTTAATGTTTAGATTTTGGAAGTACAAAAAATAGGGAGCTCACTAATGTAACATTGCCATCATGTTAAGATTTTGAAGTAAAAAATAGGCAGCTCACTAATGTAACATTGCCATCATGTTAAGATTTTGAAGTCAAAAAATAGGGAGCTCACTTATGTAACATTGCCATCATGTTAAGATTTTGAAGTAAAAAATAGGGAGATGAGATTACCTCTATTTTCTTTAAATTACAAGATAATATTTTAACAATTTTGAGTTTGTCATTGACAATATTATAGCATAAGTGTGTGACATTCTGCGAACCAAACATTCAAGCCTAGGGACATGTTTACTTCAGGTTATGAAGTGATGCTTATTAAGGCCTGTGTTGGTAAGCAATGCTTAATATGCATTGAGTCATAAAAATGATTTTCTTCATAGTGATAACGAGTTTACTAATAAAATGAATGATGCATTTACTCAATAATGCTAAGCATGTGTTAAGTAGTAAATGACATGTTTGCCCTTAATGTCTGGTGATGGAACCCGTAAATGGTGGTGGTTGATGGTGATCGCGGGTGTTGCTGGCGGTGCTGGAAACTGGCAATGAGTTGGTTGTGCCAGGCATTGGTGGCGCCGGCAGGCAGCAATGGCGACAAGCCGACAATTGATTTTGTTGATGTGGGCGGGGGGTTGTGCTTATGTAGCAACAGGTTAAGAGCCCCTTATGATAAGTATGCGTGTTTTTCCCATGAAGTAACATGTTTACTTCAACTCCATTAGTAATCTAACCATATTTCGAGCAGCGAAGTAAACTAGGTTATCTCATATTTATGAAGACATATATTCCCGTAGAGATAGAACCATATTATCCAGGATAATCTCATATTTAATGAACTAAATATACTAAATGCTCCCTAAGAGATCTGAAAAATGTTAATAGTTAGTTAGCTCTAACTGCGTCTTATTCTTTTGCTTCAGTGCCAAACGGGGGAGAGTCTATTTACCTCAAGATGAATTAGCCCAAGCAGGACTTTGTGATGACGACATATTTGTTGGAAAAGTTACTGATAAATGGAGAAGCTTCATGAAGAAGCAAATTCAGAGAGCAAGGAAGTTTTTTGACGAGGCAGAGAGAGGAGTTACCGATCTTAGCTCTGCCAGTAGATGGCCGGTAACCTTCTTAAAGTCATACTAAATTAAGCACTTTACGCTACTTATTCCTCATTAAACTAAACTTAGATTGGTGGTCTCTCTCTCTCACTCAGGTGTGGGCATCACTGCTGTTGTACCGCAAGATATTAGACGAGATTGAAGCGAATGACTATAACAACTTCACAAGAAGGGCATACGTGAGCAAACCGAAGAAGCTTCTTTCATTACCTATTGCATATGCAAAAGCTCTTATTTGACCATCAACAACCCCTTCCCATTTGGCAAGAACTTGAACAGAACCTTAAAATTCAACTAATGCTCTACTTGAAGCATTAATAGGCAGGTAATATATGTACATTAAAATGTTTTAGCATCACTATATGTCGGTGTAACTGAACATTTTATACTTCTGAAAGTAGGATGTGAAAAGTTGTGTTGTTCATTGGCCACCTTAAACATCAGCTGTTTCTACTTTTCTTTGCTTAGACAATCACTATGTAGCTATTATTTGGTGTGGCATTCTTTAAGTTCTGTTTATTCTTTTGGTTGAGGGCGGTGCTAACAGTTTTGGACTGTGTTCGATAACAGTTATTTTTTATGCTTATGTGCTTAGAATAAACACGAAGTGTACCAAGTTTAAGCACGCTACTGGAGTTCTTTTGCTTGAGTTTTTTGCTTAATACTATCCTCCGTTGCATAAAAGTTGCAACAGTTTGACTTTCACTAAATTATCTTCCAAAGAATATTTGTCACGGTGTTAAGATACTGAATATTATATAGTGGATAGTTGTGTAGAGAGAAGAGAAATATGTATGAATATGTGAGAAATATTATAAACTTGTGAACTAGAATAGAAAATCTTTGCCAAAAAAGAAAATGGAATATTATTTTGGAACAAATGTAAAAAGAAGTTGATAATTCAAAAACAGAGGGAATAGTAATTTTGATTATGTTCAATTTTACAATATAATGGCTATGATAGATACGCAAAATAACTTTAATGACATTTTCATTCATGAGTTTTTACTTCAATAAAACTACGTACTTACTTCGTTCCATAAAAGTTGCAAATATTCTTAATGACAAATATTCTTTGGAAGATAATTTAGTGACGGATGGAATAAAATATAGACAAAAAAGTAATCAGTTTTTGGCTTTATATACTTTAAATAAAATATACAGTAAAGGTAATCAAAAATCAAAATAAGGTGAGTAATGGCGGACGTACAATGAGGGGAACCGGACAAGAGGCAGTGGCCATTAGATTTTAGGTGATGTTTTAGTTCATGAAAAGACATTTTATGATGATGCCTCCACAAGAACGGTTTAAAATTATGAAGAGGAGATGAATCTTTCATGGCATAACCGTCATTAGTGATAGTCACTATCATAACTAGCATCATGCATGTAAGATAATTTCCATGACATTCTTTGTTAAACATTTACATTAATTAATTCTATAGGCTATTTCTTAGAAAAGTATATTAATGGAGAGTCAATTAGGAATATAGCCCTCAGTGACGGATTAAGGGCATATGACTATCTGAGTCTGAGACTGGTACCATAATTTCCAATTTTGGAAAATAATTTACTCCCTCCGTGCCTCCAATTAAATTCCCGGTTTGACTTCGCACGTATTAAGAAAATAAATTTGACTTTACTATGGAGTGCGTTGTTTTACACTGTTCAAACATTATTTGACACTATTTTGATGTAGATAATTTACCAAATAAGGAAAGTAAGGAAGTGTGAACTTAATTTAGGGACTGTTCAAAAAGTAAAATAGTAACTTAATTGAGGGACAGATGGAGTAATCCTTAGTAACTTAGGTGCCTTTCAAAAAAAATTAATACTTAGGTGAGAGGTTGGTGTTCACCCTTACTATCCCAGTAACTCGGTTAGGCCCGGAGGCCCGGAGCTAGAAGTCGTTGAAAAGTAATGATGTTTGGTTGAAGAAGAAGAAAATTTATCATATTTAATAAAATGTAAGATCAAAATACTTTAGGAAATGGAAGCAGTAAGATCGCTTTATCTCGTTACATAATGAATCATTTTGTACGTATTGAACTACGTACGCATTAAAATTTAGGGAAAGTTCCCGAAATAGAATTAAAACAGTTTGAAAATTTCAAAATAGAACTCTCATGTTTTTTATTCCCAAAATAGGACTAATTATTGCCATGTTTAGAAAATACTGCCATGTTTGAAGTCTGGTACTGCCAAAACATTGCAGTATGTAGTCCTATTTTGGGGATAAAAACATGACAGCCCTATTTTGGAATTTTCAAACTGTTTTAGTCCTATTTTGGGTAATATCTCTAAAATTTATGATAATGGGGAATATTTTTACTACGGAGTAGCGATGGATTGGGCTCGTACATCCCAGCCTGGGACAGATCCGGGATCGATAGGATCTATTGGTACCATCCCGGGTCCAGTTTTCCGGGACCGGTACCAGCCTACTACCCGGACCGGTGGTTATAAGGGGCGGGCTTTGGGCTTGATTTTTTGGCCCCGGTCGGGCTCGGATCGGAACCGGTACCGGAGCATACTGGGCCGGTACCGGGCACCAGATTTTCTGAACCTATACCAGTCCCGGCTCGGCCAGTACTGTAACGCCCCTCTCAGGGTTAAAGGAAACGTTACATAAACTTACTACTTTAAAAAAAACTGCAATATAGCGGCCATTTGTTTAAGAAATAACCCTGATAAAATCTCAAATATAACTAAAATATAACTCCAAAAAAAATCAATAAAATCTAGTTATCACCAGCAAATGTGATAACCACCTGGATCCAGGAATTTACTAAAACTTCAAATCCTCAAATAAAATAAAGTAATAATAATCACTTTACTATAACATCTGAAATGCTTAAATAAAATAATAACTAGCTAGAAACCGCCAAGGTCGTTCCCGTTAACTCATTTCGGCACGCGTTCCACTCTCTCATCATCTTCCTAGGCCTTGGCCTTACCTTTAGTATCTGTAATTCTGTACATGCGAATCAAGAAAACTGATAAGCTTTACGCTTAGTAAGTCACTATGGATCCACAAAAATATCTGAGAAGTCTATGCTAATTTATCAATAGATAAATTCAGGCTATAAGCATGCACTAAACATACAACTAACAAATAGCTTCCCAAATAAATTCTGAGAGAGATCCCTAAAAGGAAATATTTTCTAAAAAAAATTCTCAAAACTACTCGAGAGATCTCAAAATTTCTTAAAACATCTCTGTAAAACTTTCTGAAAGAGATCTCAAAAACAACTTTCTGTAAAACTTTCTAAAAGGGATCTCATAAACTTTCTGTAAAACTCTTTGTGGCTAATTTTAGCTGTGGGCCCGTGATATGTACTCAAAGGCGCCAATCCGACAGCTCAGGGGAGCGACCCACTAAACATATCGGACTCTCTGAAACTTATAAACTGATAATCTGAGGGAACTTGTTCCCGAGTACATATCACCTGATCTTTCACTTTAAATATTAGTTCTTTTTATGGTGACGCTTGAATAAAAACATCATTAAATCTGGAAACAAAAGTACTGTCAAAATCTTGTCTATGCCAGATAATAAGCATAACTTAATACAACAGTTAAAATAACTCATCAAATAGTTCACCAAGTTCACATAATAGCAAATAGTCTAAAATCATCGATTAAAAATCAACCAGACTTCTTTCTTTCATTTGGTTGAACAAACATGTACAGGTGGTAGTGAACTTACCTGTCAAAAAATGAACTCAAATCACTCAGATATGGATGGCACCTTGATAACGTCTTCCGGTAAGCTCTTCTTTAAAATCTTTAATTGAATGTAATAATATAAAATAAGAATTCGGGCAGATTTTAAAACAAAATCATGCGACTGAAACTTTATCTCAAAGTTTGGGACATAGTAACCAGAGAGACTACTTAATGGACCTTCAATACGGGAAAATAATTAATCTTTTTTTTCTTCAGCAAAGCTATGTATAATTAACAGTTTAGTTTTTTTTTTTATAAATGAAATTGGTCACTAAATTTCTTTTCCTCCTGCTGCGTAGCAGTAAGAAAACTAGTGCTCACATACGTATAACTATTATTATGCATAATTAAGAATTCAGTGCTTTGAATCAAAACATTGATCAATACGTAGGTTTTGAACATGGGTGATCAAACCAACCACAAATCAAGGATTTTAAATTGGAACACAGCAATAGGCAATAAGAAACTCCTGATTTTGAAATTGAACTCCTTGTTAGAACTAAACAGAGGTCTCTAAAGAGAGCATGCTACTGGAAGTTTTATAGATGAATGTTTATCTGAAATTTAAACCCCAAAATCTAGGAGATACTATGAGACCTAAACATTAACTAGAATCGATCCACTGTTCAGCCACTATATAAATAATGAAGGTAACGAATCAGACTTACAAGACTAGGAGACCTTCAACAAAGAAGCCGGCTGAGCAGGAAGAAGGCTTTGACGGATTAACTTTTCCAAAGAAGAAAGATACGGACTACCAGAGGGGAGTATTCGACTCTTAGGAAAGAGGCGTAGCTTCTCCTGGGATTGAATTTAAAAGAGACTGGTTTGGGCTATGATTGATTAGGGCTCCTAATATTCTTTTACGGAAATGCTTTTGTCCAAGCCCAAAATAGTAGTAATGTCCTTTCTTTGAAAAAAAAAAACTGATTAAAATTTAAAACATTACTTATTTCTTCACTTAAAATTATTAGAGCTTACCAGTCAACGTTACCTGCCAAAACAACACGTGATCAAACAATAAATGACGTTAGTCATAAAAGAAACTTATATATATATAATAAATATTAATGTTGATTAATATAACTAGCTCATAAAAATCGGGGTGTTACAACCCCTCCCACCTTATAAAAGTTTCGTCCTCGAAACTTAAACAACCTGGTATAGTCTCACAAAATTTCAATCTAGACTCCTCACTTGGCTTTAGTAAAACTTTAATAGCCTTATACCTTTCACATGGCTACTTCCTTTATTTCTTGAGCATATAACTTATACGAGAGAAGTTTGTAGTGACTTTGCTTCTTATTTCTAAATTGATCAAATTTCCAAGATTGACGAAACACACAACTACTTCATATAATGACCAAAACAAGGACAAAAAAAAACTCTCATTGTTTAAATCCACTTCTCATGATTTCTCATGGCGCTATAACACAAAAACACTAGCTCACATCAATCTTTATAAATGAATTAGTTTAACGTGTTTTCTTATTAATATGAAAAAGAAAGACAATACTAAACTTTAACCTCGTCATAAAAACTTATCCCACATACTACAAAAAATGAAATTCAGAATCACATTCTATAGGTGTGCTTACATAGATCAACTTGTCTTTTGAATTGGAGAATAAAACTCTTTTAATATTCATCCTTGATTGTTGACATTCTGGCATTATAATATATGAAAAAAATGGGTTCCATTCTCTGTCAGTTTTAAGAGTTCATCCTCACAATAGGATTATGTAGTGTGGAAGGATGGAGTTATCTCTTTCACCATTTTCTCCCTTCTGTCCAGTTGATGGTTTTAATTATGCTATATTGCCACTTTTTTTTTCTTATACTACTATCTCACCATCTGTTCTTAATGACCATGACAAGGACTCTCTATCTAACCCTAGAAACTCCTAAAATTGCACTATTTTAATGATGTTAATAATTGGACGCT